TAAATAACCCTGTGGTTAACATAAAGCTAGTATACGATGCGACGGTTGTAAGCGCCAGTTACACCACACGTTTATCAAATTTCCTAGATGATTTTCCTGTAACCTAGAAAAGCAAACTGCGAGATATTATAGAGAGCTTTATTCTGAGTGGCGCTGCAACTGTTGTGGACAGGCGTGTCACTTAATATTATAAAAAAGGCTGTGATTGCCTAATGGTTTGACCTACCACTCTTAAGCACAGGCCGCGGGTTTTCACACCTCTGAGTTTTCGGAATTTATGTGCGAAATTTAAAGTAGAAATTTACCATGAGCTTTTCGGTGAAGGAGTGATGAAGATGAAGAAGGTTCACAACCCTCTGAAAACCTGACTGAAACTGACTATGGCCTAAACCCTCGCCTGATAGGAGACCCATGCCCAGCAGTGAGAAGTGTAAATGAGTTGATGATAAGTCCTGTGTGAACAACAACTAAGAGAAGAAGAAATGAAGATGAAATACATTCAATAACTACGTAAACTTTTCTCACACAGTCACAATGACCTAATTCAACTATAAACTAATATAAAATAAAAAGACAGCTCTAGACTCCGATGATGTCGAAGGAGATAATAAAAAAGTGAATAATGGATCTTTAAAATTATTAACGATTATCGATTTTAACTTGAAATATTTGTTCAAGTAGTAATAAATCAAACTTAAGCTATAAAATAAGCAAGTTAATGAAACTTAGCTCCGAGTTTTAACGATCTTCATTTATTTAAGTTTGAACTGTTGGAAAACTGAAGACGTGGATTAAAAATATATCGAACAACTTTTCTAAAAGTATTGAAAATGAACCAATGAAAGTCCCTACAATCTAAGTACAGAGTACTAAAAATCCGACCTCAAAAGTCATTCATTAAATGGGACTGTTACAACGAAAAAGATTCATTAAAATCGATTCTAAAATTTATTACGATTTATCACAAAGTTATCGCATAACACACATACAAAACAAACATACAGTCGAATTGAGAACCTCCTCCTTTTAAAGTCGGTTAAAAACTATGTTTAAATGTAATTTAAAAAATTAACTACATGTCAACTCAGAATGTGTCACGTCATTGGTAGGTGAACAGACTACACAATGGGCAATTGCAACTTGCGAGAATTTTACATATTGATGACTACTGTCCTCAAACTTTTACAGTTTAAATTAAAAAGTGATTAAACAAAGAAAAAACAAAAGATAAACGTCGTTTCTTTGCTTACCTAAAAATAGCGTCTCGTGGAGTGTTTGGTGTTTGCATAACTGATTAAAAATAATGTTCAGATTTTATTGATTGATTTAAAAATACAATCATTATTAATAATAACAATATAATAATAGTTAGCCTATACATAGTCCCGTTGCTTGTCCTCCGCTCACGACGAGGGGCCTTGGGCTATAATTCCCACGCGAGCCCAATGCAGTATGGGAATTTCACATACATCACTACATTGCTTTGCATTTGCCTACCGATTACTCCAGCAACAATAGATTTGCTTAGTGAGCTGGAATATAATAGACAAATATTTCTCCTATTCGTTGCATTTGTCTTTTTTTAACTCTCTTTAAAAAAGGAGGAGGTTTCCAATTCGACTGAATTATTTTTATTTTATTTTTTTATCACTCATTTTGCATTGCATGGCATTTGTGAACCGATTTCCATGACTCTTTTTATTTTGTAAGGACGGTACCTCTGTATTGGTACCATTTAAATTTGAAGAAACTATTCCACCCCTGAGGGTAGCACGCTAGGGGATGAATCGGGTTTCGCGCAATTTCCGGTAACCGATTATTAACTTTTTGGTTTAAGTTTGTATGTACATAGGTATATGCGTTATTTTGATGTCGGTTCCTTCTTTTTAGTAAAAATTATGACGTTACTATATAATCTATCCACCTGATGGACATTTGCGATAAGTACTGCGTATTTCAAGAGAAAAAACGTATATATGTATGTACACACGTACACGACGAGGTAAAGTGACAGAAATAAAAGGAAGTAGAAGACGTACTGCCAGAGCCTAAATATATGATAAAGCAAGACGATGTAGAATAGTATATAGACGAAGAATAGTATATTAAATGTGTATGAGGCAATTATTGCACCGATCTCCCAAAAATTGAACACAGGAGTGTGTTCTTTCTAGTAGAAATTAGTACTGCTATGATACAAACCTGTCACCGGTACAATTAGTTGTATACATTATTATTAACAAAATTATCTGATAAGGTTGGAATATACAGTAATATTTCTTTTTCTTCACCTTTTTAAAGCTTAAGTTCCAAAAACTAGTTTCAGTTCTTTAAATCCCTAGTGTTGTAAAGTTAGTTTTTGTAATGAAATATTGTCTCCGCTGAAACTTTGGTAAGTACTTCACTTGATAGACCGAGTTTAGCATTTTTAAAGCGCCCTGGAGAACGATCTGCCGAAAGAACTCATCTCGCTTGCATCTTGGATCTAATTTGCTTGTAAATTGCAAATTGAGAAAAATATTTTTAGATACTGCTGTATTAAAATGTACATTAATAGTGTTGTCTAAAAACCTTTCTAAAAATCCACACTATCCTTGAAATTCTCATCCAAATCGTTAGTGGATTTTGAAAATTCTATTGCACTATTGTCGAATAATAGATTTGCTTAGTGAGCTGGAATATAATAGGTAAACATTTCTCATATTCGTTGCTTTTGTCTTTTCTTAACTCTCTTTGAAAAAGGATGAGGTTTTCAAAAAAACTTGGCAAATAGATGTTATTCCACGAACTTTTGAGGTCGGTTTTTTAGTACTCTGTACTTAGACTATTTGTTATGCCAATGATGGGATGAACAAGTCGCGCGTCTGAACAAGTCTAGTGATAAGCGACACGCATGTCCATAACAGTAGCTGTGCCACTCAGATCTTTAAGTCGCAAAGGTCTTAGGGGCACTGGCACTGTGCCCGTCACTCTGAGACATAAGTAGACAAGTCCCTTGTGCCTGTAATTTCACCAATATCTTTACCCTTGCAAATCGGAACACAGTAATGTTCACATTACTGTTTGTAGAGCACCTTGTGAAAGAGTTCGTCCAGGGAAGTACTGCCACCTTACCTATTTCTGCCGCCAAGCAGTAATGTGAACATTACTGCGTTCCGATTTAGAAGGGTAAGGGTGCTGGTGAAATTTCAGACACATGGGACTTGTCAACTTATGTTCAAGGTGACGGGAGCAGTGGCAGTGCCCTTACGATCTTTGCGATTTAAAGCTCTGAAGGGCACTGCAACTGTTGGACTGATAGCTTGGCGTGTCGCGTACCATCAGGCGCACGACTTGTTCGTGCCGTGACTTGGTATTATAAAAAAATGATAACAAACGTTTCCTGCGTTCAGACACTAATTTATTTAGAAGTTCTCTTGTTAATAACCAATTTGGACAATATTGTAGTCTGCTTTCTGAATAAGTAAATAAAAATAGTATGGAGTACATAACTGAGCAATCATGTAATTTTAAAATGGAGAAATTTAATCTGGAACATATAAACTTGCCTATAGATTTGCTCGATTATTTGAAGATCGACACGTGTGATCAAACATAAAGAGTAAATATGTAAGCAACAGACGATCGACAGGGCAATTTTTGTGCATCGGCACTGTGGAATTTCAATTAGGCATAGGCCTATAAATTTCTTCTAAATATCAGGGATCAATCGATTGCTGACAGTCGCTGTCGAGCAAATCTATTAGCTGACAAATCTTATTGATCGCCAAAACACAGCACAGCGGCGACAATAACTATCTTCAAAAATCGAGCAGATCTGTAAGCAACTTAACACAAAATATCCGGTACAAAAAACAAAACTGCAACCAGTGGATGCAGTGGCATAGCACAAATTTGAGTGGAACGGGTGATTAACCGCTTCAATTGGGTGACAAATTGTTACATCCGGCAGGAGATTGGCGCATTGTCTTCGCAAATGAGATGAGTGCTACAAGCAATGCTCCATTTGTTGAATAATCGACGTCCGACCTCATTATAAGGGTATTTTCGGCCGCATTTACGTCGAGTCACTAAAGGAGGAAAGATTGACTTTTAAACAGAATATGGTTTTGTTGTTGGATCACTGGAGTTCATAACGTATACACTGTAATATTGCTTGTGTATCATCTACTCAATTGGGCATTACAGGCACTTTAGACGACCGTAAGCACCACACTTGTTAAATATTTTCTACATTATATTTTAAGTAACATAAGTATATTTACAACGATATTGTCGTATGTAATGGATTCTATCCTTTAAACACTTCAAGTGAAATATATCAAATTTCCAATCGAGATCACAGGACAATTTATTAGTAAAACTACCATGTTGGTTTGTTTTTTGTTCAGAGGGCTTCCTGACGACGTGCTCCTTCGACTACTTGACGGAAGACCAGGACACGAAGATGTTCGTGGCTTGCATCTTCATCTGGAGCTACTGCATCCCCATGGCGCTTATCTGCTACTTCTATTCGCAGCTCTTCAGCGCCGTAAGTAATTGTATATCAAGTCGATCGCCCGTACTTACGTATTTATTAACGTATTGCGTCCCGACTGCGATACAAATGCTGGATGGCAGGTCGACTCCAGCTTCAAAGTGTTTAGATGCAGTCGGCATGATTTCAATCGGACTGCAAATTAGCGTCACAAACACTTGGATGTTGAGATGCAGTTGACCTGGCTGCATTAAAATTACATTCATACTGTTATAATGTCCTCGCCCATGTAGCTTGCAATACGATTGCAAGTGTGCCGTAAAGGCAGAAGGCAATTCGCTTGCAGTAGCACCAACGGCATCAAAAGTGTAATTTGGCAGTTGCTTTTCAGTATCGATGGAGTCAATCGTTCTCAATTGACCTAGTCTTCTTTAAGGACATTCTCAATGTCATTGACTTGTCACTGACGACCTCGGTGGCCTAATGGTTCACATTGTGGGCGCTGGATGCGGAGGTCCCGGGTTCGATTCCGGTGGGACCAATTTGGGAAGTTGTAATTGGTTCTGATCTTGATGTTCTAGGAAGGTAAATTGGAATGCTTTTGGTAAAATAAAAATGAGATATTTAATATCTATTTTATATACCATTATATTCATATATTTCTTGTGAAAGTCCTTCGCTAGTTTGTGTTATTATCAATACAAACATCGGATACGAACCTGCCACCTCGCCTAACCAGGGTCCTGCCAGATGGAAGGAATTTTCCTTTATATTTATTCGATCTTTGTATCAAAAATTATAAGGTATTTCAATTAATAACTTTTGCAACTATAGTGAAAAATATGGTGATTTGCATAATATTAGACATAATTAGTTGATGACTTTACCATCTCAGTTAGCTATGACCATGGGACCTGAAAAAGGTTCGAAACGGTTGTCTGTTTGAAACAACAAAACACGTGAGAAATTTAGTAAACTTAACTTCTTTATAAAAAAAAACCGACGTCAAAAGTTTGCTTATCCGCTTTCGCTGTGTTTGTTACCGCAGTCTCTTCAACTATAAGAGCCAATGCACATTGCGTATTTAACACGCGCCGACAACGCACCGTAAACGCGTCATCTGCGCGTATAGGCGCCGCCGTAAGCGCGTCATCTGCGCGTATAGGCGCCGAAGACGCACCGTAGACGCGAGTATGTATTGCACATTTTTAACCGGCTTCAAAAAAAGGCGAAGGTTCTTAATTCGACTGTATTTTTTTGTATGTTACGCGACAATTCCGGCAATTTGTGAACAGATTTTGATGATTCTTTTTTGTTGGAAAGAAGGTATCTCAGTATTGGTCCCGTTTAAATTTGAACGATATATTCCTTGTAAGGATGGCAAACTAGAAAGAACCCGATTTCACCCACTTTCCGGTAACCGATTACAATAAAACTTGGCAAATAGATGTAATTCCGCTAACTTTTGAGGTAGGCTTTTTTTATAAAAAAGTTACAATTATGATATTTTCAGTTTTAATTTTAATTTTGTTTGTTTGTGTCGATGTACTCGCAGATGACGCGCGTTTACGGCGATGACGTGGACGACAACACACCGAGCGTGGACGCGTGCGCCCGTCTCGCGCCCGCGTTCGGTGTGTTATTATAAATTATACTATAATTTAGACCCGCCACGGTCCCGACCCGACTCGCACCCGCTCTGTGTGCACGTTTACGTGAAACGCATTCGGAAATCCTCGTCAAAATTCAAGGTAGCTGCTGTACACTGTTGAGGAGTTCCTCTCACCCGCCTGTCATTTCCAATATCAGATCAGCTCTAAGGTAACATTTTATTTTAATTGAAATTACATCTATGTTCGAAGTTATATTGAACTCGGTTAACGGAAAGTGGGTGAACTTCAATAAACCGGATTTATGCCTTAATGCGCCATCCTTAGAAGTGGAATGTTTTCTTCAAACTCAAGTTTAAAGAAAATATTGTATTACATAATAGGACGGCTACTGAGGTACACCTTTTCAACAATAAAAAGAATCATCGAAATCGGTTCACAACTGCGGAGTAATTGCATACCATATACAAAAAATACAGTCGAATTGATTACATCCTCCTTTTTCGAAGTCGGTTAAAAATAGTTTCATTTCCAAGGTATGTTTCCGTTAATTAAAACTCGGTGTTCAAATTCAAACGGAAATTAAGAACAGAATTCTATTTCACTAGAAGAAACATTTTCTATTCAAATAATGTAATCCGATTCAACAAATGATTTATGGCGAGTCCATACGAGTATATTACGCTTGCTCCAGTTATAAAAAGGCCGAAAGCTTTTCCCTGTTGGATATAGTTTCTTTCATCGCTTCCCACTTGTATACTTACATCTACCTAAATGTCTACATATTTGTGCAAACCCTCACAGGCAGTATATCAAACAATCTATTGTTAAGGTTTGAAGTACATTCTTGTGAAAATACTTAGGTGTAGGGGACTATGGATTGTAATTAATACGATATTGGATAGGTATCAAAAAAGGATCGTAACGTTGGGTACGTTTATACAGGGTTATTTTTTAATACGTTGAAAAAAATCTGATTACAATTTAATGGATTTTTGGCGAATTTTGAATTGAATCAATCACAACATAATTAAACATGGTGCTGTAATCATTGTGCACGTTGCCACAATCATTCTTGATGATAAATGATTTATCCATGATAGACATTATCCCCTTAATTAACATCTTGTTTATTTCTATCACTTTTTTAATGTAACCTGAAACTTGTTGGCACGCCATTAAGTACTGTCTTTTAAACAATGTATTAGTATCACAATCCACACGTTTTAATTTTAGAGAAATGGAATTAATGTTTACAAGTTAAAGGTTGCAAACATCAAAATCGAAATAGTAATCGAAAAAATAATTCACTTTACTTGACATGAAATGCAATAAAAAAACACATATGAAATTCAGTAAAACAAAGATATCACATGGATCACCTTCAGCTACGCTGATATAATTAAATGAAACATCTTAAAATTTACTAATACTGTCAACAAGTATGATAATAAAACACAAGAAAAAATTAATTCTCAGCACGGGAATCGCACCCGGGACCTCTTGTGTGGCAGTCCAGCATGGTAACCGTTCAGCCAAGGAGGCAGATTAAACCAATTGTTGACATTTAAAAAATAATAATAATGATGTTGCCAGACAGCCTCACCAATTGCCTGGTCTCAAACTAGGGAATTCCGTGTACTATGAGTACTGGAGCAATGGAATTCACTCTCGAACACTTTCCAGAACACCCAGGCTGGCCTCAATTTCCCTCCAGTCTGGAGGGAGAGTCCCCACATAACCCCTGAGTCTCCCTGGGCTCAGGGGTATCCGTAAGATTTCCCCCCCGTCAAAAAAAAAAAAAAACATTTTACGATTTCAAGCTCTGAGTGACACTGTTATGGAGAGCCGTGTAGCTTACCGTCAGGCGCACGACTTGTTTATTCATGGTCCCGTCCCCAGATATTATTAAAAAAAAACTTTGATATATTAACAATTTCGTGTAATGTATTTATTCGTGTTGTAATTGATTAATCAAGTAATGTGATTGATTCCATTAAGTTCCACATGAAAAGCGTCAGATTTTTATATATGTTTTTCTTATTCAGTACTAATATAAAGCAAAAAGTAAATAATATAAAGAATAAAAATATTCGTAAAGTATTTAATCATACAATAATTATCGACCTAATTCGTATGTAGAATTTTTAAACCTCTCCCGAAAAGTCGTCACGTAGATGTGGCCTTAATACAGTGTTTGAATGTTGTTGAAAATAATGTTCGTATTTTTATTCATGCCCGAATATCTTGTTACTGTGTAAGTGTTCGTTCAAGTTTTAATTTTCTTTACCGATCGTGAACAAAACGCAGAGTAATAAGAACCTGTCCTTTATATGTACTGCCGGATTCCATTAAGTATTAAAAATTTTCGCTCTACACAATGATTTGGATTTTTAGATAGGGTATCTACAATTCATTCTGAAACAATGTCGAGTAGACATGAGATTAACTGCTATATTCGCATAGCGCGCAAAATGCTAAATTTTTATAGCACGCTATTTAAATTGTTACAATTACCTATTATTACTCCAAGGTCGTGTGATATTGTAACGAATGGCAAGAAACGCGAAATAGCTGACGCAAGCTAACTTGCTAAGTTATAGGACATAGCGTCTATATCAGTTACAACCGATTTCAATATCTATTTTTAACCGACTTCAAAAATAGGAGGAGGTACTCAATTCGACTGTATGTTCTTTCTTATAATATCAAGTGACGAGACGAACAAGTCGTGCGACTGGTGGTAGGCTACACGCCTGTCCATAACAGTTGCAGTGCCAGTCAGAGCTTTAAATCGCAAAGATCTGAGAAGCACTGCCACTGCGCCTGTCACCATGAGACATAAGTTGACAATTTTTTTTAGTTTTAAGTTGACAAAAAAAGTTGACAGCACCCCTTACCCTTCCAAGACCGGAACGCATTAATGCTAACATTAGTGCTTGGCGGCAGAAATAGGTAAGGTGGCAGTACTTCCCTGGTCGAACTCTTTCACAAGGAGCTCTAATGCTATCCCTTGGCTAAAAATTTACTACGCCAAAATTGTTTTCACAAACAAAGACTTAATGGTTCCTATGACAGTTTCCTTGTATCTTCTACGGTATCTAGTTCTATGGTATCGCCCATACTGTCCTATTTACAAAAAAAATGTACCACGCCTGCACGTCAAGTTACACACTGACGTCTCTTGTTCCATTGCACTGGCGATTTTCGAACAAAAATGTGTATCTGATGTGTCGTTGTCCGTACACGTCGCAGTGATTCGTTGCCAGCGACGCCTTCCGTTATCAATTCGCTCTGTTGGCGATTAAATATTAACGTGTGAGGATTGCAAATAACTCGTTTATTCACTTTTCACATTAATAATTCGAAAGTAGAAATACATTTTCAGTTTATTGTCACGTGGTGAATTCACAGAGAGAGCACAACGGCTGTTTTCTTTCAAGA